CAAGTTACTCTTGATTTTGTTTTTCATTTGTTTATACTTGTGACCTGCTAAAGAAGAGCATGGAGGACACAGTAGTTTGGACTCTGCCTGGACACATGGAATATATAAACTTCCTCTATGTAGTTTTGCCAACTCAACTGTATGTATGGGATTTTTTGTTGTTTCTAAATTTCAGTTTTAGCTGGCCCCAGTCTGTTTTCTCCTGTATCTTTCCAGGTCACATGGTGTGTTTGTTTTTGGTGGTGCTCATGGTGGTGGTGGTATGTATGTATGTACTTAATTGTTGGGATGCAACCACCAAACATGTGTTTAATAACCAAAAGGAGACTGAAACTCAGAAGTTGATTCATTATGACCCTACTCTAAAGACAACATAAAATACTGTATAATAAGCATTAGTCATAATTAGATTTCCAGTTGTAGCTGGCTCAAAGCCATTGGTAGATTCTGTATTTCTAGTAGTGTTTTTTTTTCTCCAAGTGGGCACTCATAATTGGACAGTAAATGACAATTAGTGGTGCTAACTGCCTTTTTATTTTATAAGATGTGTAATAGTCATCTATTTTAAAATCATAAAATCAAGAGAGGAAATCTTCAAAGTGTATATGAACTTGATCCTAAAACAGTAATTTGACGGGAGAGTGTTATTTCCCTGCAATATATTTTGTAGTTCATTTTCGTATGCTTCCAGGATTTGACTATTTCAGACCTGGGAAATAGTCTGGCAGGTGACATTGATGGGATCACTGTATTTCTGGGTGATATTTGGGTGTTTCCGTCATATTAGAAAAACTATTGCCAGACTTGATTGTATTTTAGTTGTTCATCTAAAATCATTGATTCTGAGACGCCAACCGAGTTTTGAAGATGTTAGAGTGTGTACTTTATGGTTGACAGTGCTTCATGGTTTCATGACATAAAATAGTGGTGGGCTCCATTCAAGGGCACTTCAGATTCAGTGAAATACATGGTCCCATGGTAATCTGCCACCAGTATTTACCAATGTGCCTATTCAGGAGTTTTCACACCAGTGGACAGTATGGAATTTAAGCCTATGAGAACTTTAAAATGCGTGCTTGATTTTTAACTCGGTGAGCTGTGAAAATAATCGAGTGCTCTTGACTCTTTCTTACACAGTGGTGAATAGGTTAGATCCTAGAAGACATTGGTTTGTGTCACTAAAAGGAAAAAATGTAAATGGAACCTAGTGGAAATATTTTATAATTCTTAATTATTGCTCAGGAAGCCTTTCATGGGAGAATCATAGGTAGCATTTCTTTCTGTCAAGAAGTGAAAGCTCCTGGCAGAGCGTGATAGGGAACAACAGCCCTGGAAATAGATTAGCCACTGCAGGGAGTGGAGGTAGGCAAAGGTAAGGGTTGATGAAACAAGTCTGGACAGTCAAGTAAAATTCACTGCTGTATGAAGTTCTTATTATAGGAACAAAGTTAAAATCAGTATTTGGATTTTCCCCTATTCTAGTTCAACGTAAGATTAGACGAATGGCTAACTAGAATAACCAATGTTGTTTTGTTTTTGTGTAGTTTTTATACCCCACATCCTTACAGATTTACTGACTTTTGGATAAAAGGAGAAAAACGGTTAGTTCGCTTTCTGGTCACCCAGCTGCAGTTCAGTGTACGGAAAGTGGGATGTTTGGCTTTTTAGAGCACATTAACCATGGACCTTATCCTGGGAGTGACACCACATGCCTTTTCAATGGGCCCTGTTTACGGCCACTACCCTGTGCTAACTCTTTTCAGGAGCCTACCTGTCTTGGCAAGCCTCATTAGGGCTGTCCCAGGCCACTCACTGCTTGGTCAGGAGGCCTCTCAGAAACCCTCAGATAGCACTGGGAGTGAGTTGTGGTGACACAGGAGGGAGCAGGCTCGATGTGCCCCCATGCCAGCAGGCCCTGGTCACTACTGCTCATTATACTGTACATGTTGATATGTGTGTGCAGAGAGCACAAGATAAAACTTTTGAGGCATTAGGTTTCCTACTTTTATTTGGGGCATGCTTCCTCATGTTCTATGGAATAAACATTGTTACCCTTTTCTGTTTTAGAATGAAGTTCCTTTGAAGCAAGGTCTCAAATAGAAGTGTTTCTCTGTTTTACTAGCTAGTCTAAACACTGGTTTTGTGTAGAATTAAGATGGTTATCTACTGTTGAGTATCTCATTTTTCTTTGCTGCTTTTAACATGGCCATATTTAAATCTCAGATAGAAATTATACCTATTTGGTAGGACTTTGCAGGGTTTGAAGGAGAATTATTATATCAACTCTGTTGGGTCATGTGACTGCTGCCATATTTGTAGTCATCTATCAAAGTCACATGACAGGTGTGCCTGTAGAATATATAGTTGTGCATCACTTAACAGTGGGGTTATGTTCTCAGAAATGCATCATTCATTAGGCAGTTTTGCTGTTGTCCGTCGTCAAAGTGTGTTTATGTAAACCTAGATGGTACACACGGGCTACCTGGTCCGGCCTGTTGCTCCCAGGCTGCAGACATGTACAACATGCTACTGTACTGAATAGTGCAGGCAGTTGAAAAATAATAGCAAGTAGTTGTGTATCTAAACATAGAAAAGAGATTGTCAAAATATGTTACAAAAGATAAAAAATGGTACTTTCCGCATAGAGCTCTGAACATTAATGGAGCTTACAGGGCTGGAGGTTGCTCTTGGTGAGTCAGTGAGTGGTGAGTGAATGTGAAGGCCTAGGACTACTGTACGCTACTGTAGACTTCATAGGCATTGTACACTTAGGATACACTAAATTTGTAAAAAATATACTTTCTTCAGTAATAACTTTAGGTTACTGTAACTTTTATTTTATAAAACTTTTAGGCACTTTTGTAATAATACTTAGCTTAAGAAACATTGCATAGCTGTACTAAAATATTTTCTTTTTAAAAATCTTTGTAAGCTTTTTTCTGTCTTTTCTAACTTTTTAAACATTTTGGTAAAAAACGAAGACAGAAACACACGCATTGGCTTAGGCCTACACATGGTCAGGCTCATCAATGTCTGTCTTCCACCTCCACATCTTGTCCCAGTAGAAGGTCTTCAAGCCAGTAGCACACATAGAACTGTCATCTCCTATAATAACAATGCCTTCTTAGGGATACCTCCTGAAGGATCTGCCTGAGGCTGTTGTAAGTTCACTTTTTTTGTTATTTAAATAGGAGTACACTTTAATATAACAATAGAAGTGTAGTAAACAAACCACTAACATAGTCATTTATTAAGTATTATGTACTATACATAACTATATGTGCAATAATTTTATACAGCCGGCCATGCGACAGGTTAGTTTAGCATCACCACAAGCAATGTCAGTAGGTGATGGGCATTTTTCAGCTTCATTTATTAATTTTATTAATTTTATGGGTTCATTGTTGTATTTGCAGTCCTTTGTTGACTAAGATGTTATGTAGTGCATGACTGTACTATAGTACTCTAGCGTTTATATTTCAGAACCAAGCTGTAAAGCTGCCGTCTTGAGAATTACTATTCTAAGATGACGACATGTCTTGTTATACATTTGTTTTCTAAAGCAGTAATGTATAACTGAAGTTTGTATTTTAAAAATTGTTTTTCCCATCTGATCTCATGAATATCTAATTAATGATGTTGCAGCTTTTAAAGTATAACAATTTGCAAATCAAACTTCCTTTAGGCTTGTAAGGCCTTAAGAGTGGTTCTAGAGGTGCTAGACTGAAGCAGTAAGTAGCAGTAAGTAGGGTTCTTCCAAGTTGTGTGTAAGTGCATGCATACACACACACACACAACACACACACACGCATGTATGTCTAGGCTACTCAGAGCCCCTACTCTTACCTGGAGAGAGAAGGACATCAAGTTATGAGTGGGATGGTTGTGTCAGTGTAGAAAAGTAAGGGCATTTTAGGGGACTAGTCATCTTTTCCTTTTGAAAATGTATGCAGTATAGGGGATTCTAGAGATCTGGTCATCAGATTTCTCCCGATCTTAAATACTGTGCTTTTGTAATCAAGGATGATTTTCCCTTTCCTGCACAGTTCCTGTTCTTTCTCACTTTAACTCTGCTTTCCCTTCATTCTGTGCTAACTACAAATCTTCCTTAACCTGACTCTTCGCAGATAGTATGTCATGTGTATATAACAAGGGACAGACTGTCTACCTGGCTGGTGTGCACAGCTTCTTCTCCAGGTTTATATGAGAGATAGGTGGAGATCACAAACTTCCCAGCCTTGTCATTCACAAGGGCAACTTATTTTTATTTTCCAGACTTGTGTCACTATCTGTTTCCTTCATTCCCCACCCTAATCTTCTCACACACTCTGCTCATCTTACTTCAGTAAACCAAGATGCTAGGAGAGAAGCCAAGTCTGAAACAATGTGCTCAGTGATGTTTTGTTCCTGGGACCCACTGGACTCAGCTGAACCTCTTCGGATTAGTGGGTTCTCACTGAGCACACCGTCACAGACGGCACCTCCAGCCTGCATTCATGTATTCAGTACTCTGCCTTGGCTTCACTAGAGGGTGCTGTCGTGCAGGGTTGTTCGAGGTAAACGTTTTCTGGACTTAACGGACCTGATGATCTGTATTTGCAAAGGAAACAGACTTTCCAAGTGATAAGTTCAAATAGTATCAGTCATTTCCCTTTTTTGGTCCCATTTTTACAGCTGAACAAACCGAGGCTCAGAGAAGTGGAGTGCATTTCCAGAGGTCACAGTTAGTGGGAGAACTGGCCAGGCAGCACGCTCGCGCTGTCCCTGCAGCTCTCCGTGTCTGTCTTTACCTCCTATGCCTCACGTCCTATCATCACATTTCAAAGGATGAGTCCTCTAAGATTCCTGTTCTTGGCATAAGGATAAAGTGAATGCATATGTGCCTCTGCTCCTGGAGGGTGGGAAACTTGTGTTCCTTTCATTATTGTATGTGGTGTGGGAGAAGTAAAGTCATGCACATTATTCAGTAGCCACACATTTTATTTTTATTTTTTCTTAAGGATGAAGAGGAAGAAATCAAACTGGAGATAAATATGCTAAAGAAATACTCTCATCACAGAAATATTGCAACATATTATGGTGCTTTCATCAAAAAGAGCCCTCCAGGACATGATGACCAACTCTGGGTAGGTGGATGTTTCCTGAGCATTTGTGGGCGTTCCGTTTGCTTGAATTGTGAGGGCGTGGCGGGGGTGGGGGCTGGGGGGAAGGGAGGGAAGAAAAACCATGAAGAGGAGCAGTAAGTAGCTGGAAGATTCTAAAGGCTTCCTTGGCCGATGTCTCTGGGTTGACTATATGCTGGTTGTTTATTGTGATATTGATTTCACATTGCATGGAAAAAAGTTAACTTTGTGTTTCAGGAATAAAATGGCAGCATCTAGAAGGAATGTGATCAAATAGCAAGGAAATTAGGAGCTTGAAAGCAATACAATAAAAACTTTATTTATGGGAACAAAACTAATTTGAAAGCCCAGCAAATTGAGCTTACCACTTGGAAATGAGAGAGAGATCTCAAGAAACAAACTTCTGTCAGTAGCTTATCAATAGTATTAATGATAATAGTTAATTAAAACAAATTACAGGGAAATTTCTGGAATTGACACATTCAACCTTATCTCTTTTTGAACACATTTATATTCAAGATAATGACCTGGAGATACCATCAGATCTGTGGCTATCACATTATTTAAACTTGCAAAGGAGGAAGATAGATGAATACTTTTTGTATCAGTATTTTTAAAGGGCCGTTACAGAAAACATCTGCAAAATTAAATAGAAGGGAAAAAGTTTACTCTGTTACCATTGCCCAAATCAGGTCACAGTTAAAATGTTAGAACAGTTGAGTTCGGTTTATTTTCTGGGTACTTTAAACATACCATTGTGATCATATTGTTCAAACATTCAGATACTGTAAATATTGTATTAAAAATTGTATAACTGCTTAAAATTACTATTTTTTATTCGTATTAGACCCAGTTAATATAAAATATAATAGTTTGAGGATCATAATGTGAAAAATAGAATGTTTTTGAGGCAAGATGAAAAAGAATGTTAGGGAATATTTGAGTCAGATATTTGATAATTGGACAGTGATGAGGAGCAAAGTGGTCTTCCTGTGCCCACGTGCTTCTGAGAGAGAATGAGCACTTCAGAATTGCTGCGCTTGGGTGTGCCGTAGAATACCAGACACTCACAGTCTCCTGGACCAAATACACGGAGCGAATACATGGGACCGTGAAATGAGCTTTCAGTTATTTAGGTGCCTCCAAATTATTATGAGTTATTTAGGAGCATCACGTTTCCAGGTCCTTAGAATAAAGAGATGGCATGGCGGTTAAACTGGTTTTCCCAATTTCTCCAAGATGTGTTACTCACCTTGTGTCTTGTCTGCCCTATAGCTTGTTATGGAGTTTTGTGGGGCTGGGTCCATTACAGACCTTGTGAAGAACACCAAAGGGAACACACTCAAAGAAGACTGGATTGCTTACATCTCCAGAGAAATCCTGAGGGTGAGGAAAGTGGGTGGCTACAGTGCTCCAACCCATGATCCTGTGCTTCCGTTTTCATTTTCCCAGCCCCAAGTACTTCTTTGCATTACTTATACATATATAGATTATTCTCTTTGACAGCCAAGGATTCTGTATATCTAGCTAGCTTTGATAATTTTAAGCTACATCATGATTTGACTCTGGCAAGTATGTAAAGAAGGTTGACTTAAATAAAAGAAGCATTTCTGTATTTCCCTGAATTTACTTTCCATGGCATCATGACATACCTATTGGCAGCTTTCCTTTGAGTTTAAAAGGAAATCAGAGTGGAAGGGAAGAGAAATAATCTCCAACTATTGTTTTTAAAGGAATTCTGTGTATAAGCTTATAAATAAATACTAATGGTGCTGAATGCTGGTTTTCAAAATCACCTTGAAGACTTTGGTGTTAGCTACTAGAATCTGTTACAATATTTATGAAGAAAAGTTAGAATGTTTAATATTATTGACAGCCATTTGGAAAGCTGGCTAATGATCTTAGAGTAAGTTTCTGAACTGCTATTGTAGCAGCTTTTAAATGTTTCTTTTGAGTAGTAAAGCCATGTTGACGGCACATGCAGAGGGTTTCTAGGATTTCGTATTTGAGCAGTGCATGTAGGATATTACCAGTGGGTCTCTTCCTTCATTTCGCTATCACAGTTTTTCTCTCTACTTCATCCCTGAATTACACACAGACATTACTTGGTTGCATTTCATTTACCTACCACATTAAAAAAAAAAAGATTATGAAGTTAAATTGAAGTCCAATTCTTATGCTTCCCCCACTAATAAAAAAACTTAAAAGTAATGAATAAGTTATTTTAATTTTTTTAGTAAGTAAAGTTATCCCACTTTTTATATGTAAGATTCATAGAGGATTGCAGGTTTAAAAACTGCCATCTAGACTTCCTAGAGAAACGTTTAATTTTTTTTTTAATTTAGATATTTATGTAGTCCTTGAAGAGAGGCAATTGCCCTAAGAAGACTAGTTGCGGGGGGTGGGGTAGGGTGACAGGAGAACCATCTTTTTATAAACACTTGCAAATGTCATTAAAATGTCAGGATCTTTTATGACTGTTATAGAAAGCAGAGCCTAAATGTGGGAAACTTTCCTGCCCTATACTACTGTAAAGGAAGTCAGGTACTGGGCCAGGTGGATTTCTTCTATTAATAACTAAAACTCTTTAGCATGGTAGGCAGGATAGAACATTAGTTGAGTGGTTGGAGACTAGCATAAGTCAGACCTGGGTTTGAGTCCTGCCTCTGCTGCTTACCTATAGCACACCCTATGTTATTCAACTTTCAGGACTTATTTTCTCCTCGTCTATACATTTTAGATACCAACCTTTTGAAATTACTTTTGTTAGGAGAATTCAATGAGTTAGTGTATATTAATCATTTAATGTAACATTTGGATACATAGCTACCTATCAGTGACTATTAACTGTTGTCATTATTCTTTGTTTTAAACACCCACTCTCCTGCCATACACATCCCCACCCGCGCACCCACGCCCCTACCTTTCTTATATAGATATCTCAAGCAGAGAAGTAGCTTTTAGCTGAATGTCCTAGGCATCAAATGTATTTCAGCCTTCAAAGACAAATGTGTTTCTATACCCAGGCAAGCGTTGTTTACCTATCATATGTAACATGTACATTTAGCCATTTTACCATCAATAATCTCCAGTAACATTTAAAAAAAACCAAAGTTGTTTGACGCCTCTAAGCTAGCTTGAGTGTGGCATGTGAATGAACATCTTTTTGAGACGCAGGGAATCTTTTTCACCTCACTGGGCATCTGAAACACGAGCTGCCTTCGCCTACATTTCATCTAGAATGGGAGTTTTTCCTTGTGACAAAAGTTTAAATTAACTAAAAACAAGCAATTGCCTCAGGGAGAGTTCGTGTGTCATGCAGTAGTGTGTGTTCATTATAGGGGTTACTAAGAGTTGGCTTTGGTAAAGAGAAGGCAAGATGATAAGCTGGAGGTAAGGCCTCATGAGAAAGGAATGCAGCCACCCCCAGACAGATAAGCTGTGTTCTCAAAGACGGTTGGGGTTAGACAGTTTCTGTGGTGGCAAAATCTTTCCTCATTTTTCACTAGATGTTGGATTTAGACATTATGATCATTATGATCAGACCCTTTGAATGGTGAGGGTCCTAAGCAGGTAGGCCTCAGCCAGTAGAGAAGTGCTTTTTGGAGCCAGCACACTGTTACCCTCTGGACCACAAGGCTTAGCAGCAAGGCCAGCGTGTTCTTTTCAGCCCACTTCCATGTTCACATTCCACATGGCAGTATCGTCATATTGAACATGGGAACTTAGAGCTTTCTGTAACCAATGCTGTATGACAGCCTTTGACTGCTCTTTTATTCTGTGACCTTGCACGATACAGAGTTAAGGGAAAAATGTTTCCTAGTTTAGAAACACAGATGCATTTGCTCAAGGATAGTGCTTCACTGAGTGTTTGGACTTGACGTCTCTGCTAAGGAAGGGTAATTGTGGCCTGATTTCTGGTGTGGGACTAGTTGAACACACACATACTCCCAGGTACTTCATGGAAGAAAAAGGTTCTTTTTTTCCGAATAATCATATAACATTGTTGCAGAGCTATTAGATACACTTAATTCCCTGTAGAAGCAGTGATCCTGTAGCCATATAGACAGGAAAACAGGCATTGTTCTGTACATTTATTGCTGGTAATGAACAAGAGTGCATGCAAGCTACATTTGTTTGACAAGATGTGGGTGCTTATGTTTGTTGTTAAGATAGTTCTGTAAAAGTTTTAAGAAGAGGTTGGCAAGTTAGAAAACAAAAATGAACTGAAGTAATAGAAATAGGAATTATGAAGAATTGGGGAACTTAGCTTTTGTGTCTCTCCTTTTGCTATTTGAAGTTATACCATGCTGAGAGGAGGTACTTTGTTCCTAACTATAGCAATAAGGTACCATATATTTTTAGTGCTTTTTTCTCTAGTCAGTGCTTTGTGGTATAATACCGCACATCCTGTGTTGTGAAAAATAAACAGAGCTGTCAAATAAGCTTTGCTCTGTTTCCTAGACAGACCAGTAAATGAATGTTTAGAAACCCCCTATGTTAGAAAAATTAGTATTCTAGAGGAGCTGTTGTATTTAATTCATATCTTACAAAGTAATGATAACAATAAAACCCCATGAAAAAAGAATAAACAGGAAAAAAATCAAATAACCCTTACTTATAATCTGCCCTTTTTGGATTGAGACATTTTAGAGTAAATAGGTTGCTTGTATCTTAAGGAGGTGAGCTGTATATTTGGCTTCTCTAGCTAAGGACAGAATAAGTAAATGAGTTGTGAGAATGATGCATTGCTGTCTCTTGGACCATATTTGGATGCAACATGTGTTTTTGTTCTTCCACCACCTCTCGTAAGAGACAAGCTTTTGGGCCTCATTCCAGATACAAGGTCATCAAAAAGTGTTATATGCCCAGTAGGTTTGTTTCCTTGGGAAAGAAAGGTATTTTATTTGAACACAAGGCTTTTTTGACAGCACAATCATTTTATGCTTGGGATGGAGGTGGGATTGATCAGCACTTAGCAGTTTGTCACTGTGCAGTGGGAAGGCTAGCCAGTGTTAAAGAGCCAGATTTCAAAGCCCTCTCTTGCCCTTTGCTTTTCCCCTGAGATGTGTCTAGTTCAAATATGCCCACGGGGTCACCCTCTAGACATTTAGCGTGGGAAAGGAACCACCCTGTACACAAATAGCACAAATTATAGCAGAGAAAATGCAGATGGTAATCTGCAGTGTATCTTAAAGGCACAGCTAGAAGTGGTCATGTTGCTCACACAGGGAACCTAACCCACTGGGAATGTGGCGGGGGGAGGACTTCTTTCTGTGTGTGTGGTAGTGTTGGTGCCGTCTTCCTGGGAGTGCACTAAGAGTGAAGTTAATGTTCATGAGCTCACAAACACCGTTGGTCCCATGTGCACTTTCTTATAAAAGGTGTGTTCCTGGCTGTTTACTTATAGTCACAGAAAACTAAAATTCAGGCCTGTCTTTCCTATTCAGGGACTGGCACATCTTCACATTCATCACGTGATTCACCGGGATATCAAGGGCCAGAATGTGTTGCTGACTGAGAATGCAGAGGTGAAACTTGGTATGTAATAGTTGTGCGGCGTGATCTCGTAATTGCACCTGGCACAAGCCAGCTGCACTCCCAGTTCTGCTTCCATCTAGCTAAAAGTTCAGTCTGTTACCCATGTTTTCTATTTCTGTTCTTCTTAAGAATGTGGGAACCGAGCATATTGCTTAGCCTGGCTCCAGCCTCCCCACTTCCATGTTAGTTCCCCCCCCACCTCCCGCCCCCTGGTTCTCTATACAGCAGCCAGACTGATCTTCAGCTCAGACCCTGCCACTTTCCTGCTTAAAGACCCTTAATGGCTTCCTATTTTACTTTGGATAAAACCGACGTTTCTCACCCTTGCCTATAAAAAGCCATGTAGGATCTGATGCCTGCTACTTTTCCCTCCTCATTTTATGTCCCTCTTTACTTCTCTCTTCATCAGTCACTGTCTTTTTTTCTTTTCTTAAACTTCCTGGATCTTGCCTTGGGGCCTTTGCAAAACTGTTTCCCATTGGGAAGACTTGACTTCAGTTTTGAAGTCACAGTTTTTTTTCTCATGTTCAGGGGCCTTTTCCACCCTATGATCTGTCTTGGGCCTTGCTGCTTGTTTCTTTCATAGTATTGTTCACAATGTATAGTTATGTGATTGTTTTTTACTTCTGTTACTGTCTCTTTTGCCAGAATGTAAATTCTGGGAATGCAGCAAATAGCCTGTTACCCAGCACCCAGCATAGTGACTTCATTGTAGTAGGTGCTCGATAAATTTCTGCATGGATAGGTAATTACAGCCCGTGGTGTTTTCCTGGAGTTATTCACAAGGGTTCTTTTATATTTCTTGTTTCCTTTAGCTGGGTCTGAACTCATTCCACTTTCATTTAAGTGTTGTATCAAATTTTTAAATAGCGTTTGTATTAATTTTTCTTCCACTAACACATCAGAACAAAATTCTTTCTGTTTATATGGGTCTGGTCCACCTTTCTTTTAGAAATCATAGGCACAGCTGTTGTACTGTAAAAGTAAGATCTTCATAGTTACTTCCTTGCATAGTGTCTGTGTTTGTTGGTCTTCTATGGAGGAATCTGCCCAATTGGAAACTCCCCTCAGGGCTCCCCTCAAGGAAGCACTTGAGCAGTTCTCATACCAAATGACTCAGTGAGCTGTGCGTTCCCTGCACTGGTCTCCTGCTATCCGCCTGCGATAGTACCTGAGTGATCACTTAGTGATTGGTTACCGTTGCCTTCCAAGTCGCTGTGATGCTCGCTTAGGCTTCCTGCACTAACTGGCTGGCCTGTGTGTCCCTGGTTCCTCTGCTGCCTGGCCCGTGTGTCTCTGTCTCTGAAGGAGTACTCAGTGAGTAAGTCCACACCCTGGACAAGCCGTTTTCTGAGCGTGTTCTGTGCATAGAAGTTGAATCTATGATCCCTTTAAGTCATCTCAGCACTTCGTAGGCCTTTCTGCATGGGCGCCTCCACCTTTGCAGGTTCCTGCTGGGGTAATGGTAGTGTGTGTGGTGATAGTGTTGGCAGGGACAGATGGCAGGCATTCCGTTAGAGGTCATGGTCTTCCTGCCAGCTCTGCCTCCCATCCTTGAACTTTCCTCTAGACCACCACCACCATCCAATTGGGTAGGATGCAGAAGTCACTGAAAAATCAGCAGAAGTCCCAAGTGCTTTAGGGTGTGTTGTTTGTGAACATATGATTTAGCTTGCTTTTTTTTTTTTTTTTTTTTTTTTAAAATTCAGTACTGTGTTTTTTTCAAGAAAACTTTTGTGAATTTTTTATCTTTATGGTTATTAGTACTGTTTAAGAAGGTAAGTCAAGTGCGTCTTCAGTCAGTTCTCCAGAACCTGGGGCTCTCTGTGACTTGATCTTGTTTGCGGCAGTTCTCTGAAAGCACTGAAGGTTGTGGTTCATTCAAAAGGCCCTCTGCTGGTCACTGTCGGAGAAGCTGGGGAGGCAGCCAGATCCAGGCTTCACAGAAGCTTCCAGACTGGTAGAGGATCTCACAGTCTCGGTGGCTTTACTGTGGAAGGGCACTCCTGACCAGTGGTGCCTTCCTTGAGGAGGATTGCATATTCATGAAGCACTGCTGTTTCAGTTTACTACGAAGACATTTCCTCCTTGTGTTTTTTCACAAGTATATCTGGTTTGTAATTGTGTTTCACTTTCTCTTCCTTTCTCTTCCTCCCACAGTTGACTTTGGTGTGAGTGCTCAGCTGGACAGGACAGTGGGGCGGAGAAATACGTTCATAGGCACTCCCTACTGGATGGCTCCTGAGGTCATCGCCTGTGATGAGAACCCAGATGCCACCTATGATTACAGAGTAAGAGGCACCTACTCCATAGGCCTTTGCAGGGCCCCTGGCATGCCTGAGAGATGGGGGCTTTGCTTATAAATTGCACACCCCTTGTCTGCCTGCCTTTTCAGGGAGGAAGACCTTCAGTGAGGAAAATTGCAGGTGCAAATTTTTCAGCACAGTATTCAGATGCTGTCTTTTTTGTCCATTTGTATCACGTGACTGTGTTCTCATTAAGGAGTACACTGGTTTCAAAGCAGTCTGGAGCACTTTGTCGTGCCTAGAGCTTTTTGTTCCTATTTACTATCCTTTTTTTTTTTTAACTTGAAGAATATATTAGAATCGAATATTTATTCTTTTTAAAATATTGCCAATGTATAGTAATAGCTTCATTTGAGTGAAATTTTATATTATTCTTGTTAAACTGCTGTACAGCATTGATTTGGTATACAAATTTATTTAAATTATTAGAGTGACCTCTAGGGACTTGAATCAATAATGCACTTTAAAAAAAAAAATCTAGATGTAAATCCATATTTGATATCAGACTCAGGTTACTATGTTTACAAAAGCTGTTTTTAAAAATCCATGCCTTAATTAGATGAGCCAGACTGGTTAATATACCTGTTAATGATATGCAAAATGGAATTCATGTCTTAACAGTCTCCCATGTATTTTAGTATTTATTACAAATATCCAATTAATGAGACTTAAGACTGTAGTGCAGAGTAAGTTTTGTTTTTTATATACTGAAGTATCTTAAAATGGATAACAGACTTTGTGACTTTCTACTCTTTACTATGTATCTAAAATTTGAAAATGTTTTCCAGCATTCCCCAAATAATTATTATACCTAAGTAAATACAAATAGTTAATACAAAGTTGGTAATTAGACCTGGCTGGTATGCAGAACAAGACAGTGTATTTGGTTATTTAATCTCTTAATCTAGAACCACCCCCACCCCCACCCGGTTTTTTTGTTTTTGTTTTTGTTTTGCCATAAAACTGACTTTCTGAAGAGCCTGGGCCTGTTGTCTAATGTTCTACCCTTGAGATTTGTCTCATTACTTCTTTATGTCATTTAGTTTGTTTCCTGTAAACCAGAAAGGCTTAATTTGTATCAAGGAAAACCTTCTTAGCAAAATCACCACTGGGGAGGTGGGGGTGGGGGTGGGGGTGGGGGTGGAGGGTGGAGGGGTGGGGGTGGGGGTGGGGGTGGCGGTGGCGGTGGCGGTGGCGGTGGCGGTGGCGGTGGCGGTGGAGGTGGAGGTGGAGGTGGAGGTGCTTCATGTTGCCTTGCAGCACCCCCGCTCATTGCCAGGAGTGGCCCCTGGATTAGGGTAATGAGCCCCTTTGTGTACCCTGATAGTATAGAAAGCTTAATGAAAATAAGGGAGGAATGATAGGTCTCTCTTTTTTGTTGTATTCAGATATATGTGTCTGAACTTTGTAATGTAAGTATAGATTATTTAGAAAACCTTTAAACTGAGCAACTTTAATTCCTTGGTTAGGATAGCATATAAACAAATATATAGTAATGATAATAACTCTCCTCATCTACTTTTCAAAAATTCTTTTGGATTTTAAGAAATATCGTCTGATAAGACTTTAGTACATCAAACAGTGTTTGGTGAGTACTCTCCATTTCAAAAGTAAATAAAACTGGCAAAAATGCCTGCCTTCATGGAACTTATATTTGAGTAGAAAGTGAAGTTTAATTCAAATTTTAAATTTAGTATTTCAGGGGAATCAGAAAAAAAAAAAAAAAGATTCCATGTACAGAAAACCAGCTGACTTGTTTGGTTTGCAAGTAGGGTGGGGATGCTTAGTGGCATGATTTGAATTAGTGAGCCACGTTAGGTTTTATGAATTCAGTGGTGAACACTTTGTAAAGAATGGTTTCTGGCCTTTAAACTTTAAAATCTTAATTAAGTTTCAATTACTAACAATAAACATCAATCTGGGCCAGAAATCTAAAGTATTGAATGCTTATGAAGAAATGAAGAAACATATTGAACAGTAGACCATTCACTGAACAGTTAGAGAGAGGTTTTTAAGTGGACCAGCTCTAGTTCATTCATAGATGTGAGTGGTTTTAATCAAATCAATTTTCTCCTTCCTTCCTTCCTTCCTTCCTTCCTTCCTTCCTTCCTTCCTTCCTTCCTTCCTTCCTTCCTCCCTCCCTCCCTCCCTCCCTCCCTCCCTCCCTCCCTCCCTCCCTCCCTCCTTCCATAAGTTCTACAAGTGTGTTTGTACCTTTAATTTTCTGGCAAACTTCATTTTGGTTTATATAGCAAAGTTGTGTGAATAGCCAGACATGTAAGTTAGTGGCTTTGTAGCTACTCCAGTATCCGTAACATACTGTTTTATTTTTGCAGAGTGATCTTTGGTCTTGTGGCATTACAGCCATCGAGATGGCAGAAGGTGCTCCCCGTAAGTAACTTTCTTTTCTTTTTCCCCGTAAGTAACTTTCTTTTCTTTTTAGCTCACTTGTTAACGTGTAACTTAAATCTCTCCCAAGACTTCAAAAAGAACAGCTCAGCTCCATGGATAAAGGCATTTCTGGTAGACTGTCTAGATGAAGGCATCATCAATATAGTCAAGTTTTAGATGTAAAAGGAATTCTTGGCAACCACTATTACTATTTCTTTTAAATATCTCTAGGAGGCCTATAGGCTGCATTTTCTTTTATTTAAGTTGTACTCAAATGTGTGACCTGAAGTAGTGCTGAGATAAAATAATAAGTAGTAAGTTTTCTCTTTACATTTTAAATTGAATAATTCAGTGGAACTAGTCCTAACACATGAAATTTTAGTATTAAGTTTTGAGTTTACAAATGGAGGCAAAACTTTATTAATAGAATAATTTTTTGTGCGTGTTAACTGAAATTTTGTGAGTTTTTGCTTCTCCATTGGATTAAATTAATGAGAACTTTATATAATTCATTTTTGATCACGGATGAGGTAGAATTGCAGAGAACAAAGGAAAAAAAAACCCTGCATTTTCTGCTGTCCCCATTAAAAAAGGTCTACACAAAGAATGTATAACTGTCTGGCACAGCACGTAGTTGCTGCTGAATAAATATTTGTTGAATGAATGAAGGTAATTATTGACAGCTAAAAATTAGTTTTCAGTGTAGAAATAGAGATCTGCCTCAAACACAACACATTCCCCTGTGCTTCCCTCTAAGAAAGTAAGGCAGGGAAGTACCACCTCATCCTTTGTCTCAGTTTTTGTTCACAAGGGGAATAGTATTGTCTGCCCCTCCTCATTGCCCAGATGCCTTGTTAAGGGTCTTTTGAAGGTAAAGAAACACATGAAAATGCACATTGCCTATGGTGACATAGTAATGCCTACGTGTGTGCCTAACACACTTTTATTGGGTGAGTGATAGGAGTACAAAAACAGTAATTGCACAGAATTTAATCCATTTCATGCTCAATTTTTGCTCTTTCTAGTATTTTTAGCTGTAACAACAAACAGCATTTCTGGAGGGCCTAACTGTGCTCATTCTGTTCCAGGCATTGCATGAAGGCCTTTGCAAGCCATATCTTATTTAATCTCGACAACAACCCTATGAAAATGCAATCATTTTCATTGTAATCTTACAGATAGTTTAACAACTTAAGTGTTAGTTCCTGTAAGACTTAGATTTATGAAAACTTTCCAATGTCTGTTTAAAAATGTATATTCTTGTTGCTCTCATCCTCCCGCTGTGCTGTTTTTAAATGGGAAATTCAAGGTATGCCCTGGAGTTCATAACTAGGTGTCTAGACTGCTCGGTGTGAAGTCTATCAGTCAGACGATGGGCCAGAGCATTTCATGTTATTTATGACTGAGCCCTAGAAATCAAGAATGAGTAAAGTAAGTGCCATACTGACACGACCGTCTCCTCTCCTCAGCTCTCTGTGACATGCATCCAATGAGAGCACTGTTTCTCATTCCCAGAAACCCTCCTCCCCGGCTGAAGTCAAAAAAATGGTAAGCTATGTATGGTTTTTTGTTGTTCTTTTCCCTTTTTTTGTTTCTTTTTACTTATACTTTGCTTTGAGATAAAATTCTGGCCCTTCTAATTCTGGGGAACACAAGAGCTGGTTCTCCAAAACTCCAATTAAAGGGTGCGTTGATTTTTTTAAAATGAGATTTTTCTTGATAAATTCTCTCTGAATTACAAAACGGTGACAAATGACCACATGAAACACTATAACATGTCTAAAGACAAATGTTCTATTTTAATATTTAGACATTCTTTTAAGTGTAATATACTTCTAAACATCTTTCCATTAAAGAAAGTGACTAGGCCCAGTGGCTCGCACCTGTAATCCCAGCACTTTGGGAGGCCAAGGCGGGCGGATCACCTGAGGTCAGCAGTTCGAGACCAGCCTGACCAACATGGAGAAACCCTGTCTCTACTGAAAAAAAAATACAAAATTAGCCGGGCGTGGTGATGATGCCTGTAATCCCAGCTACTCAGGAAGCTGAGGCAGGAGAATCGCTTGAACCCGGGAGGCGGAGGTTGTGGTGAGCCAAGATCACGCCATTGCACTGCAGCCTGGGCAACAAGAGCAAAACTCTGTCTCAAAAAAAAAAAAAAAAAAAAAAAAGCTGTGTTGACTTGCAGTTCCTCAGATGTCATAGGATTTTAAAATTAATGGAGGCTTTTACTGTAATTATTTTTTTGTTTAACTGAAGTTAGACATACCAGCTTTCATTGCAGAATAGCATATTAACAGAATGGCTTAATCTTCTTGGGCTATCACTTTTCCTTCTCCTTGTAACTCTCATACATTTGTCAAACAGAGTACTGATACCCACAGAGAGAGAGAGGAGGATGACTTTCCCTGAGAGAACCTGTTAGGATTGCAGCATTGTGGGAACATACTGTTGGGTTAGTTGTAAAATCTTGAAGAGAGAGAGCAGTGTTTTGGGTTCTGCTGAGAATTTTGCCCCCTCTTTCCCTCCTGAATTTCCTTCTGGGTCCTTTCCTGTTTGTTCTCATCTGTACTCTGGCTCTTCATGCATGGCCTTCCCTTCTTTTTGTGTTCCTCTTTCTGTTTTTCTGGACTCATTGATTCCTACCTGCTATATGACTTTTTTTTTTTTTTTTTTTTTTTTTTAAACAGTTCTTACTAGTTTTCCAATTGATGCTACCTCGTCTTAGGTTCTTGACTCTCATTCTGAAATAACGCAGAACATCTCAGAGTTAAGCTTCCATCCTGAATTTGGCCTTTTAGCTGTTCCTGTTTATGCTTTTTTTCTTGTTTGCTCACCTTCTGGTGATTTGCAGTTCTCTTTTCCCCTATGTTGTTGCACGCCAACACCCATCTTCATACCAGTTTTCTTCGTGCTTCTCCCAGTATCTCACTGTCCTTGCCCCCAACACCTTTCACCATTCTTTCCCGTCTGTCTTCTGCTGGCAGGATTTTTCTCATTTTTTATACAGTCTTTAGCCACGTTTGACTCTATGTGGCTGTCTGATTCCATTTACCTGTGTTTAGAATGGTTTTTATTGCCACGAAGTTGTAAGGATTTTAGCTCCAGTCAGTCTTCTGTATTAAGATATGATAACTCTGGACATCCTCAGGTGGCCATGCCTAGGGAAACCCAATGTGTATAGCTGATATCACCAAGGAATCAGCTATGGAGCTGGAGTAACTCTTTACCCAGTTCATGCTTTGATTAAGTAGTACTCATTCTCCCCTTTTCTTTATCTCTCAGATTTTGTTGACAGTGTCTGTGCTGGAAGGATTGCTAAGTTAATGCTGTCTTCAGGGTACCTCACACTCCGATTATTCTGTCCGTTAGCTACAGTTTTGTATTAACCATTGTGTGTCCAACATACAGTGATACAAAGATACAGTGGTAGACAGCAATAAATGCTTCCTGTGTTCTTTTCTTACACCAAACTTTCTTTAAACTGGATTAGATGACACATTTCATCCACTTATATCCCTGTTCTCATGTTACCGAAGTATTCTAAAAGGATGAGATAATTACAGACGTAAAGTCCTTCTTCTTGTGATTGCTGTCCACTGTCCACCCGATGTAAATTCTGTTTTTTGGAGAAATGGCTTTCAAAAGATGATCAGTGTCCTTCTGCCAGCAGAACTTGATTCTTGATTTTAGGAAATATTTTGTAGTTCATTGATTCCCAGATGTTAGTCTGTGGACACAATGCTTAGGAATCCTTTTGGAATCTTTTAACTGATGGCTCTAACCTCAAAGTTTCTGTTCTGGGGAGTGACTCAGGTATTTGTATCTTCAATAAACTCCCCAAAATGATCTTTGTGAACATTGGGTCTTAGAAATCTCTGCGTTAAAGCATTTCACTATCCTGTGTAGAATCTTCCATGTTCCTCATTAAACGTAGAATAAAGTAACAGCGACTTTGAATGACTTTAAGGGCTTTTCTTTGAGCTGACCCTAACCTATTTTTCCATTCTTTTTCACTTTTCATACTAGCCTCAGAAAATAACTCATTATTCTCTAACACTTCCTTACTTTAGTTGATACCATTCCTTCACTCTGGAATGTTGTCTTCTCTGTCCTACCTTATGAATATCAAGTATCCTACTTTTTCTTCTTGTCCAATCCACTGTAACAGGTTTTTTCTTCCTCTGTAAGTTTGATATATGTCTGCTGTTGTATCTACCTAAATTTCTCCACTTTATTTCTTATGTGTATGTGTTATAGAGCCTAACATAAACAAATGCAAATAGTTGATACATTAATATTTGTTGAATTAAGAAAAGTTAAGTTTTAATGGAAATACGAGACAATAGAAGTGATTCTTAAAAGCAGTGAAGTAGAAAGAGTGAACTAATTTTCTAACTCACATTTTTAAAGACTGAAGAATACCTCATTCATTCAACAAAACTTTATTCCATACCTATTGTGGTGTGCATGCCTAGCGTTGAGCATTGCCTACAGGTTGAGATGTAGGAACTAGTTTTTGACCTGTACCATTTCAACTTTTCAGCGGGACAGAAACATAAAGCATGCAGTCTGTTAAAAGCAGATAACCCCAGAAGAAAGGTTCCTAACTTGGGTTCACATAGGGCAGAGTGTTGCCAGGAAGATTTACCAGAAGTGGTGATTCTTGAAATGAGTCTCAAAAAATAGGATAGGTGATTGGTAAGAGTGTCCTGACCAAGGCTAGGGCTGTGGTCTTCATGAGCTGGTTATGGAGAAACAGGCAGAAGTAAAAGTGGCTAGTATGGCAAATGTAGGTGACAGATTCATCTCTTCCCCTAACCCCTCCAAAAAACAAACTCAACAACTGTGATTTCCACCTTTGTAGATTAAACAGAGGGAACTGACAAATCAACTAGTTTGGAACTCTGGTTGAAATGTCAAATTAACAGGTTCAAGAGCCCCCAGCATTTGGTCATGGAGTCTACTCCTTTTCTTATCTCATTGCTGTCGTTGTCTTCTAGGTACCGGACATCTGTCCCGTCTGCCTTCATTTTATCAAAGACCTCCCGCTACCCCCTTGCCCCTGCTACTCCTGTAATTAAGTGATTAATGTGCAATATTAGATTTAAGCCCAGTTCATTTAAATCTGACTTCCTTCTTAGCTCCCTATTTGTGGTGTGTTGTTAGCGATAGGATGCACCACCTAAACTGTGCTAAATTAATGCTCCTGATCCTCAATAGTCCTGAGTTCCTATTTATGTTTCATACATTATTCCTATGCATTTGCAGAATGTTCACAGTGAATTCTGAAGCTCTTCTTTATGTTGAGGCTTGTAAGTTACTGATATTTTGGATCTTTGCTCTCTGTGGTGGAAATTTGATGATCTTTTTCACTTCTTACAGGTCGAAGAAATTTTTTAGTTTTATAGAAGGGTGCCTGGTGAAGAATTACACGCAGCGGCCCTCTACAGAGCAGCTTTTGAAACATCCTTTTATAAGGGATCAGCCAAATGAAAGGCAAGTTAGAATCCAGCTTAAGGATCATATAGATCGTACGAGGAAGAAGAGAGGCGAGAAAGGTACTAAGCCTGTTTTTTGTTTTCATCCTTTAAAAGTTTTATGTTTAGGTTCTTGCCAACTAGAGCAGGTCACTCCTTTCCCAGCTGTGAGAGTGCTCACTTGGCCAGTGCTTGCATGGTTTCTCTCTGCTTGCAGTTCAGTGCTTAGGCCTGGGGTCCAGCCTGGCTCCAGGTGGAGTTGGCTGGAGCTTTGTGGTGTGTCACCAAGCTTACAGCAAGTAAATAGGCATGACGATGGGATGCTCATCTTGTTCCCGAGGGTGACGTCATTGTTGCTGCCCATTTTCCTTCATCATGGATGTGTTCATGGCATATTTCACTGGGGTTTATTGAGCATCTGCTGTGAGCATCACCATCAGTGTGTTTCTGTATAATTCTCCTGCCCAAGAACCCCACTCAGGGGCTTTTAACTGCTCTACTCTATTACAGGTGGTGTGGCAGCATGGGCCACATGCATAGTCAGACGACTTTGCTTTAAATAGCATGCACAGCACAAGCATGCTCTTGTGCTAAATACTGAAGGTTCTTTTCTGTCCCAGTATCTTTGTTTTAGGTCTTTGCACATACTTTGCCGACCTTCCTGGAATGCTCTCCATTTTTCTTCTGTCCAGCAAGGTGCAGTTCAAACATCATCACCATCTTTACTAAACCATCTTCTCTGAGGCTGCTGGCTCACACTGATCTTTCTCTTTTGTGGGTCCTTTATAATAACATTATAGAACAACACTTGGATAACTGGTATCCTATTATTTTTTGGTTCAAATTTCAAGGTCAGAGAAGAAACTAAGAAGAGCAGGTTCAAGGCAGTAAAAGAATTGGTCAAAGTCTGGAGGCCTTTCTGCCTGTACTGGTATTCATAGTTAAGTTATCACTGATGTTCAGAATAACCTTTTTCCTTCTGATATACTTAGTTATAAAAGTAATTAGGCTTTGTACGTTAAGCTATGCACTTGTAACACAGTTAACTAAAGCTTGAAAACAAGACTTTTTTTCCTTAACTCTCAATTGACATGGAAGCACTGTTTAGGAAAAAATTATTTACATAATGGATCATTTTCCCATAACTTTACTTAGTAGTAATAGCTAACATTCATGAAACATTTGCCAGATACCTTGGATCATCTCATGTTTTCCTCATCACCCACATTTTGCAGATGGAAACAGCAGAACACCTTCCCTTCCTTTCAGTCTTCAAGTCACAGTGACCTCTTTATTTTCTCTTTGGGTTTACCTTCCAGATACCATCAGCCTCTTGTCAATAATTAGTAATTTGTAGTATAAAATTATAAACATAGCAGAGTACCTATTTTAAGGATTCTGAAGATTATTTAAGCTAGAATTTCCCTTTGAAGCTAGCAGAGTCTATTAAACTTAAATAGCTTTGATGGTTTAGCATACAGAAGAGCTTATGTTATATATGCAGACTGATAAATTTGTACGGAACCATATTTTAATTGCTCAGGCACTTTAAAACCAGGAAACTGATTTTCATCTTTTTTTTTTTTTTTTTTTTTTTTTTTGGGACAGAGTCTTGCTATGTCACCCAGGCTGGACTACAGTGGTGTGATCTTGGATCACTGCAACCTCCGCCTCCTGGGTTCAAGTGATTCTCCTGCCTCAGCCTCCTGAGTAGCTGGGATTACAGGCGTGCACCACCATACCCGGTTGAGTTTTGTATTTTTAGTAGAGACAGGCTTTCACCATGTTGGTCAGGCTGGTCTTGAACCCCTGACCTCGTGATCTGCCCGCCTCGGCCTCACAAAGTGCTGGGATTACAGGTGGGAGCCACCGCACCCAGCCTGATTTTCATCTTGTATATCTTTGAAAAAAATAGAGGTGTGTGTGTCTAGTCTTTGCTTTTAAATCTCTTCAGCCTGTCTGGGTTTTTTCTTGGTTCTGGAGTGAAACTGCTCACTGGAAGTTGGATATTGACATTAAGTGAAGGGACCAGTAAAATGGCCTTTTGGGAGAACTGTATGAAACCTGTAGAACTGAAAGTGAGTTACTGATGTTGAAATTTCTGTTTGTTTGAAGTCTGGCCTAATTAGAGCAAATTTTAGTCTCGTTTTTTTTTGCTATATGGTTTAATTCGTTTTCCCTGATTTTGCCTGGTTTGTTTGTGGGTACATTTTGGCTTGTTTTTCCTGTACCTAGTTAATGTTTCACTCTGTGTCCATCCTACAGGCTTTTTTCCCTCTGCTGCACTCTCCGTGGATCCCTAATTGCAGAAAATCACCAAATAAATTATCTTGGTTGCCTTAGTTTCAGCAGTCACATATCTTTTTGAATTTTGCCATCAAAGTGGATTTTGTTGAATTTGCTAGTGTCCTTGGGTTCTTTTCTTATGTGTCAGGGGTGCTGGACCCCCTTTCGTGGTCCTGCACCTCCTCAGCAGTGCATCCCCATACAAGGTTGGCTGGAATGCTATGGAATCAGCTTTTCTATAGGGAGTAAGGCTGACTAGGGAATAGATGCTGTCACTATGGGAATGTGGTGTCTTGTCCCTCCTCCCCAAATCCTCTATACAAGTTGCTGTTTTCACCAGGAATTTGTTTATTTTCTGCCATGATGCTCTTGTCCTTTTCTTTGTAGATGAAACTGAGTATGAGTACAGTGGGAGTGAGGAAGAAGAGGAGGAAGTGCCTGAACAGGAAGGAGAGCCAAGGTAACCACGAAGCCACTGTTCTGTATCCTGCTTTATGAAGGGATTAAGTTTTATGTTGTGCCAAGATTTCAGAAGACTCCTGTGTGGTACAATGAATCTTAAATTCTTTGCTAGTGCCAGTTAGACAGCGTCTTACTATCTTCCATTCTTTTCTATTCTTGTCCTGTAAACATTTTTCTTCCCTGGATCCTCTCACCCAGTGATTCTTTACCAAGGGTTGTATTGTGTCCTCTCCCCCAGTCATTGATAAATGTGTGGGCCTGGGCAGGGGAGAGTGCCCCAGCATTTATTGTTCCAGAAGCCATGGACGGTGAACGTGCCATTGAACACCATTTCTTGTGGTATATAGAATATGGCTACACACAAAGAATTGTCCCACTCATGGACCAGCAGGACTGTGTGTGTCCTGATTTATTTTACGGTCTGTGTTTTAGTTTATCTCTGGCTCCCCAAGGTTCAGTAAAGCAGAAGGTTAAGGAGTCAGATTGGTTGCGTGAACCTCATAATAACTGATGAATCAGAGAACAGAGGATTTTTGGATTGTAAGATGGGTGTGCCTGGCATTTGTCCATGCTGCAGGATGTGGCTGACGAAGTGAACAGAGGGAGGGTGGAAGGGCATCTCGAGAGACCTGTGGGGAGCCATGTGCCAGAGAATGGGACTTGGAAGAGAGAGAAGAGAATTTATTGAAGCTACTCCATAATCTCTTTTTCTTCTTGTGTAGAAGAGATTTTAATCCATTTTAGACTAAGAATTTCAGAGGAATTTGAACTGATTTCATGAGCAGTGTAATTGTTTTTGAATAGGAGGAGCACCATATGGCGAAAAAGGCAAGTTAAGGAGATATGTTTGCCGTGCTGCTCTGGATGCCATGGCAGTGGAGAAGTAACTCGGTGGGGAGGTCAGCTAGGAAGAGTGTGTTTAATTGATCTTCGCAGTGGCTGATTCATAGGCTCAGCTGCTGACCTGGAAATGAGAAAGTGGGAGGGAATTATAATAGGGCTTGGTGGTTGACCAAAGACAAAGGAATGGTGTAAACACTGAAGAGTGGTCTGATGGTTCTGTTTACTGAAGAAAAAAAAAAAAAGGTAGTTAAAGGACTAGTGAAATCAAAGAAGGTGATTTCAACCTTTCCTTTTACTCAGTTTGAATCGTTATGAGAATCCTAAGTAGAAATGTCTTGTCAAGCAAACATCTAGGACAGCATTTTAAGACATTTACTAAATAAATAAAGGAAGATATGGGACGATTGAATTGTAGATATGGTCGTTTCTGTGAATGTATTAGTTGCCTCCCTCAAGTCAGAGGAACTCAGAGAATGAATGTAGAAATGGAATAGGATGCTGGTGCTGCTGTTTCACTTAGAGGACAGTGTGATCTGTGCACACCCCTGAAAGCCCTACTTTCTCCAACAGTTCCATTGTGAACGTGCCTGGTGAGTCTACTCTTCGTCGAGATTTCCTGAGACTGCAGCAGGAGAACAAGGAACGTTCTGAGGCTCTTCGGAGACAACAGTTACTACAGGAGCAACAGCTCCGGGAGCAGGAAGAATATAAAAGGCAACTGCTGGCGGAGAGACAGAAGCGGATTGAGCAGCAGAAAGAACAGAGGCGACGGCTAGAAGAGGTAGCAAAAGGAAAATGTCCAAGTTGGTTGGTCTTTTCTCTTTCTGCATTTACACTGGTAGTTAGCCACTCCAAGGAATATCCTCCGTAGCTTCCTGGGGTAATACTTATCCCCTGGCACAGCTGTTTACATAACTTGTGAAAGAAAGCTTACACTTTGGACTGGCAGGCCTTCACTTTCCTTGAGGCCTTAGAAATGTTTTCCTTCCTTGTGAAAACTTGGATCAGCCCCACAGTTACTCATCAGCATACTGTGTTAGATGCAGAGCAAGTGTCCCAAAGATGGCATCAGACCAGTTTTGTGAAGTCTTTGCATTATGGTTTTAAGTTGGCTTGCTCAGGATTGACCTGATTCCTTTTCCACTCTCAGCCTCTGAGTCCCACTTTGTATGTGCATATTTTTCTGAAACTTAAGACTTTTTCACATGAAAAATTATTTTTTTCTCTAAATGCCTTAACTTTAGGTATACTTAAGAGTAGGGGATGCAGATGAGGACAAATAGCTAATGCATGCCGGGCTTAATACCTAGGTGATGGGTTGACAGGTGCAGCAAACCACCATGGCCCACGTTTACCTGTGTAACAAACCACGTTCTGCAGTGTATCCCAGAACTTAAAGTAAAACAGAATTTAAAAGAAAAAGATAAGATTTGGACTTAGAGGCAGAAACACAGGAAGAGTACCATGTGGCAAGGGAGGCCAGATGGGAATAATGGTCTACCAGTCAAGGAAGGCCAAGTATTGCCTGCAACCACTGAAACTAGGAAGAGGCAAAGAAAGACCCTTCCCTAGAGCCCTCAGAGAGAACATGGCCTTGCTCACACCTTGGTTTCAGAGTTCCAGCATCCAGAACTGTCAGAAAATAAATGTTTACTGGTTTAAGCCAAAAAAAAAAAAAAAAACCCACACACACTAAGGGATGCAGAAAATAATTTGAACCTGGAAGTTGTAGCGTCCTCTGGTGGAGAAGTACATTTTGCACCACCTGCTCGTTTAACTCATTAATATCGCTAACATTGGTAATGTGGTTACCTTACAGCTTTCATGTTTTTAATGCACAGAAATATATTATTTCCCTGTACAGTCATGGGTCGCTTAATGACGGGGATACATTCTGAGAAATGCATCATTAGGTGATCCGTCATTGTGGGAACATCATAGAATGTACCTACACAGACCTAGATGGTACAGCCTACTACGCACCTAGGCTATGTGGTGTGGCCTCTTGCTCCTAGGCTACAAACCTGTACAGCATGTTACTGTGCCTAATACTGTAGGCAGTTGTAACACAATGGTAAGTATTTGTATATGTAATCATAGAAAAAGTATGGTAAAAATATGTTGTTATAATTTTATGGGGGACTACCATTGTATGTGCAGTTCATCATTGACCAAAACATGACCATTTCACCTGGGGGTCAGACGAATCTTTTGATTTTCTTTTCTTGACTGGCTCCTGCTATATACCTCACAGGTCCAAATTTCTCATTCATTATCATTTCTGTTTTTATTTAATTCACGGACATTGTTTTTTTCCTCCAGAAAAATGGCCCAACAGCAGTAAAGCCCTGTATTGATATTATCCAGTGGAATTTAGTCTATTAAATAGCAACACATGCTGTTAAATATTATCCTACTAATTTAACAGCACATTTTGGCATGGAATCTTTCATACACTTTGTGTATTTTTGTAGTCTGGATTCTGAAAACTCTTTATAATTTGCTACTCGTTTAGAAAAATTGGTGCCTGCTGAACTAAGGAGCCTGCAAATAGTCAGCTGGGACTTTTAGAAGAAAACAGGACATACGTTCCCTGGTAGTAGGGACAACTTCGCTGCTTATGTAATGCTTTTGTAGCTAATTTGCAAACTCCTTGTAGTATTTTTGTTAAGACCCTTTTCAATGTTCTTTTTAATAACTCTTGAATGAGTTCAGAGGTCTGTTCAAGTTGCCTATGGACTGTACTTACTATATTAGAATGCTTGAATTTTGAGACTCTGGCTATCCAGCCTCTGCATGTGGTAGGTGGTGAAGGTGAGCACTGGCTCACAAGGAAGAGCTGAAGTTTTAAAGTCATTTTGTTTTATAAGCTGCGTAGATGCCAGTGAATGTCAGTGAAAACAAGAATTTTGTACTTGACGTGTTTTAATTAGCCCATGATGGATTTTCAGTGTAAGTTCAAACTCAGGGTCGTCTCTTTGAGCTTCTTTTCTCAATTAGGAAAGATTAAGAAAATATTGAAATGGGAAAAGTCACATGAGTAGAATTCCACTGGTTTGGATTTTTGGTCAGCTAGCTGCTTGTTATTAGCCTGGGTAATTAAGCTTTACTTAAACTCCAGGTCCGAGGAAGGTAATTTGGGAATAGAGTGATCCCTTATTTGGGGAATTGGTTCTAGGACTTCCCATGGATACCAGAAGTGCAGATGCCCAAGCCTCTGGTATGAAGTGGCCTAGTCTTTGCATATAACCTGTGCACTCTGTTCCATATATAGTCATATGTTGCATAACAACATTTTGGTCAACAACTGACTACATGTATGACGGTGGTCCCATAAGATTATAATGGAGCTGAAAAATTCCTGTTGCCCAGTGACATCATAGCCTTTGTAACGTGTAATGGGTTGTAGCTCAACCTGTTACTCGTGATTGTGGTGATGCTGGTGTAAACTCACGTATTGCACTGCTGGTTGTATAAAAGTATAGCACGTACAATTATAGACAGTATATGTTACTGTGTTTATGTATTTACTATATTATACTTTTTAATCATTATTTTAGAGTGTACTCCTTCTATATATTAAAAACCAAGTTAACTGCAAAAGAGCCTTAGGTCCTTCAGGAGGATTCCAGAAAAAGGCATTGTGATCATAGGAGATGACAGCTGACAGTTCCATGTGTGTTATTTGCCCTTGAAGACCCTCCAATGAGACAAGATGTAGAGGGAGAAGATTGTGATATTGAGGATTCTGACCTTGTGTAGGCCTAGACTAATGTATATGTTTGTGTCTTTCTTTTTACCAAAAACATTTTTAAAGCTAAAAAAAGTTTCAATTAGGAAAAAGTTTATAGGATAGAAATTTAAAGAAAATATTTTGTACAGTTATATGAAGTGTTTGTGTATTAAACTCATAAAAGAATAAAATTAACTTTTAAATTTTAAGAAAAAGTTACATTAAGATTAATTTAATATTGAAGGAAGAAAAACATTTTAAAATAAATTTAGTATGGCATGAATGCACGGTGTTTATGAAGGCTACAGTAGTGCACACTAATGTCCCAGGTCTTCATATTCACTCACCACTCACTCACTGACTCACCCAGAGCAACCTCCAGCCCCTCAAGCTCTATTCGTGGTGAGATCGCATTTGTAATCTTTTATAGCATGTTTTTACTGTACTTTTTTTGTGTTTAGATACACAACTGCTTACCATTGTATTGCAGTTACTTAGCATATTCAGTATAGTACCAGGCTGTGCAGGTTTGTAGCCTAGGAGCAATAGGCTACACCATATGGCCTAGGTGCGTAGTAGGCTGTACCATCTAGGTTTGTGTGTGCACACTATATGATGTTCATACAGTGAAGAAATCACCTAACGACGCATTTCTAGGAACATATCCCTGTTGTTAAGCAACACATGACTGTACTTTAAATCATCTCTGGATTACTTAATACCAAGTACAATGTAAATGCCATGCAAATACTTGTTATACTGTATTATTTGGGGAATAATGACCAAAAAAGCCTGTACAGATGCAATTTTTTCAAATATTTTTTGACCTAAGGTTGGTCGAATCCATGTGGTTGTGAAACCTGTGAATACAGAGGGCTGACTATTTGAGCCATAATTGGTTCGTAGCCCTTTACTGGCATTAAGGATTTAGTCAGAACTGTTTGAGGAACAGAGATTATTTTATGAACAAAGTAAGTAAAGATGGTCAGTCTCACTCATAAGATATTAACATTGAAAGGAGATAACTGTTATCTGTCAGACTGGCAAAACATGGTCGGTAAAGTAAAGGCTGTGGGCAAACACAGTGCAGATGCCACAAAACCAGGCCCACTGGGGTTGGAGATTTCTCTTGCCATCCACACACTCCTGTCTCTGCACCCTTTTTGCAGGTGAGGGATGGTGCTTTTGCCCTTCGTAGGTCCTTCATCTTTAAGAACTACATACACTCCCACCTCCCATCTCCCTTGGTGCTCTCTGATAACTGCTGCTGCTAGTATCGCCCTCCTTTGCTTCTCTGCTTTCTGCTCATCTCTTGTGTGAACTGGATCTCCTTTGGAAGTCCTTGCAACTCTTTTGGAGTTTGTCTCCCAGTTTTGCTGAAAATGAGGTTTTTGTTTTCTCTTGTTTTGTTTGGATGGTTCCAGGAGAAAAAGGGGAGAATGCTGAGCTCATGCAGCCAAGTTTGTACCGAGAGTCTCAGCACTTCTTCCCAGCCCCTCCCCGCTGCTCTTCGTGTGTGTGGCTGGGCTCCCGGGGTCCTTCTCTTATGGGTACACTCATATTTTGTCAGTTTACTCTAAGTGAGTTATCCAGATTCAGAAAAGGATCATTTTCTTCCTTCCTCAAAAAGGTGTTCTGTTTTGTTTTGGAGACAGGGTTTTGCTGTGTCAGTGCAGTGGTGCAATCTCAGCTCACTGCACCCTCTGCCACCCGGGCTCAGGTGATCCTCCTGGCTCTGCCTCTTGAGTAGCTGGGACTACAGGCATGCAGCAGCACACCAGGCTCATTTTTGTATTTTTTGTTTTGTGGAGATGGGGTTTCACCATTGTTGGCCAGGCTTGTCTCTAACTCCCAGGCTCAAGCAATCCACCTGCCTCAGCCTCCCAAAGTGCTGGAATTAACTGGCGTGAGCCACTGCGCCCAACCAAAAAGTTTTAATACTACTTTTCCTATTTAGAGCATCATCACACCTTTGGCTCATAAAAGACTTTGGGTCTAACTAAATTTTTTTTTTTTTCATTTTGTTCACAAGCCAACCTTTTCTTTCA